AAGTCCGAGACACTCTTTTGCTGTGTATCGGTCTGAAACTGCAGTGGCATTTTTAACACTGCTCATTATTTTCTTTGAAATATGTCGATTCATACAGTTGTGTTTACACCGGGAAACAAGGTACGTTTTAATGACATTTGTGCTATAGTAGTATGAGATTAAGAACTAACATTTTTACCTGGCAGAAAATAATCTTGAGAATGTGACCTTTCCAGGTTAAAAGAAGCCCAACACAACAGAAGGCAAATTAAAAGCCCCTAAAACTTACATTTACTTTTTCTGTCATCGGATCAGCTACAACCTCCCCTTGTGATCTTCACAGAACGTTTCTGTCTGGTGGCAGTATTTATCATCAACTTCTGTGAAAGTTCAGCTTGCCTGCCTTGATTTTTAATGTAAAAGTTTGGAGGATTAAAACCAAACATTACCCAGAAAAGAACTGCAGTTTGAAAATTCAAGGAATCGTAAGATACTGAAACTGTGAAGGGAGGGGGAAAACACCAATGTTCTTCCTTGTGATGGTTAATCCATAGTAGTTAATCTTAGTTAAAACCACATAAAAGACAAGATAACCTGGGATTGAATTTACACTGGCAGTCTGACATCAAGCCCAAAGAGAAACCTGTGTACGAATCTGATCTGCTGATCTGATTTAACTCATCACAGCTTGACTTACTCTCAGCATGCTTTCTAGCACGGGTAAACCAACACAAGCTAATTTATTGGAGTTCAAATGAACATTGTGAAACTGGCACCATAATCATATGTTATAACCAGTTCATGCAAGGGGGGTAACCCAGCGTGTGATCGCTTGCTGTGAACAAAATACACAGCACATACACAGCACTTGGTGCTCTCTTTGCTCTTCTATTTATTATGAGTTAGGGAGGTGCTAATGGGCAGCATGACCTCCCTGAAGCAGTACTGCAAGTCAGGTTTCACTTAGCAGTCATCAGAGGTACAAGGTTTAGTGTCTCAGAACTGGAGTTATTCAAGGAATCAGGTCAGTCAAAGATTAAGCTGTGCAAGAAATGCTCTAGGGTAGAAAGAGGAGAAACAAAGCAGGAAGTGGTTTCCGGTCATGAACTGAGTTTTAAGCAGCTAAGATTTGCTTGAGAAATTAGTGTTTTGTAGAGTGATGGGAAAACCAGGGAATCCAATGAAAGGACAGAATGAATCCTGGTCATTGATATAGGAGAGTACAGGGAGGACAGGAGTCCCACTACTCCTGTATTTTGAAGCATCTCTCTGAACTAGCACCTTTTAAAATCCCTCTTAGTAATCCCAGGACCTAGCTAGACATTACTAAAAAGACATTTGATCTTTTTTAAAGGTTGTTAGGCCAGGCCATGCAGATTAACATGCACCATCTTATACTGTGATACAGGTAGCTGCTTCTCTACAGGCTTTTTAACACATGTAAAATGTTTGAGAGCAATGTTCCGTGAAAGCCTGCTTTGTCCCATATTTTCAGACTAAAGGTATTAACTCAGTAACCATAAATGCCACCTGAAGATGAAAGCAAAAAAAGGCAAACAAAGGCCAGTGAAGCATACTTTGTAACTACCTCAGTCATGTAATTTAGCCTGCTAGAACTGAACAACTTGGTACAGGGGAAGAAAAGGCTATGAAAACCTTTACTTACTCCTGCTGCAATGCTTTCTGGAGTCCCCACGACAAGCCCTCTGGTGGGTGGGACAGAAGAGCTCTCCCATTGCTTTATTCTATATTTGAGCCCTTGTTAAACCATAATCACAAAACTTAAGTTTGGAGTTAGAGCACTACTTTCCGTTCACCAGAAAGGAACTAGAAGGCAAGTCCTATGCAGTTAACAAAAATACAGTAATTATTCCTCTCCTGAGCTCATTTTGAGCCCCTGGTTGGTACATGCCTTGTTCAGCACACCAGGCTCACCTTTTCTTTTAAGGTGGCAAACATAACTCTAGTTCTCCTGTGCCACAGCCTGGTTTTCATTGGCATATAAAAGCCCACTTGCCCCTAACTGAAGCAAAGTTCCCATCAATCACAGTCGAACCACTAAAGAAGTAGATTTTATGATGGTCAGCTGTGCTATGGTACTAGCACAACTTTCTGCATAAGGTCAACCAGTCTCCCATGTCTACATCTGTGCCCCTCAAACCAGAGCCTTGCTGACCAAACCATACAAGGGCAAATCATGTTACAGCTGAGGCCTTGACAATTTGGTTTGGTTAATTGTACTGAACAAACAAAAACAATTTGGCCTCTACGGTGCCTTAATCTCTGTATTCAACTGATTTGGATGCAATGACCTGCCTTGGCTTGCCTTAGTTCCTCATTAGAAAAAAACCTGGTCCCAGGCTGGTTCTGAGCATTGAATGGCTCAGTGTGGCCAGAAAACAAGGAACTCATTGCTGGCTAAAACCACCATTGCACAAAACACTATGGCTCACCTAGCACTTTGACTGATAAGCCAAGGAGGATTTGCTGGCACATAGTAGCATTTGTCAAGAAAAACAGAAGTTAAAAAGTAACTTTCAGTTAAGTTTCCCAGGAAAATAATTCTCAAAGGTAATTCTTGTGCTTCCATGGGTTTCAATCTCCTTGAAGCATGTTCCCTAAACCTTCCTCACTACCGTTCTTCCCTTCTGAAAGGGCTGCAAGGTGGCAAATAAGAGGTGAATCACCAGGCATAACAAGAGATGCAAGGGTGGGAGCAGAGAATGTCTTGCTGGATGCAAATAGTGTCCTGTAAATCTGCCTCACAGAGAGATCCTGAGATGCTCTGTCTAGTCTCCAGAGAGCAAGGGTAAGAGGTCACTTGAACACAGCCCGTAATTACTTATGTGGGGAGAAGACAGGTGGGAAAATGCTTTTTTGGGAAAAGGCTTTGCTACAGGGCTAAGACCTAAGTAGTGCACAGGGCAACACCACTAATCTCTCTAGCTGTATTGTAATGCCACCGCTCCCAGAAGGGAGGACAAAAGGTATGCTTAGGCTTCCCCTTTAGACAAGTGCTTTTAGTGAACTGAGGTCAGTGCCTGGTTTCTGGATCCAGGTAAAGTTTAGGTACAAGGTAGACAGAGAGCTTCTCCTACAGGGTGGCTATGACATAGGTGGAAAATTAACTCCAGATCCAGAGAGTTCTAAAATCAGACAGGGTGATGCCTAATACCTCTGCTGCATACAGAAAATTGCTATCTATTGCCTTTTGTCCCTGCAAGCCTTTGTTCAACTTCAAAAGGGAGACTTCTGCAATGAGGACATCAGTAGAATGAGGTACAAACATGTGCATCAGAAGTGATGCTAGAAATACACGTCAGAAGAGCAGAGATAGTGTTTGGTTTGGGTTTTTTTGGTAACTGATATTTAGTCACTGTACAGTAAGCTAACTTCTTCATGGCACTGCATGAGCTCTAACAATGGTTTTTACAAGACAGGTAGGTACTATCAGGTCCTGTCGTGGAGGTGGAAACAGCATAGGTCTGAAACAGATAGCTCTGAGAGCTCTCCAGCAGATGAGGTGGAGATCAAGAACAGGATACAGCCTCCCCAGCTACACCTCTCTGCTGTTTCCAACCTGCTGTATTTTGAGAGTCTGAGGCAACAACAGATGGAAAAGCATGTTCTATGAGATATGGGCAAATATCTTTAAAAAGGCAGCTACCTGATTTTTGTTTCCAAAGATGTAACACTGCCCCATACTTCAAAGCATGATAGCTCTGAGTGTCACTAAATCAAAATGACTGTATGCTTTTCAAGCAAGTAGGGAAGTGACCTCCATCAGTGCAATTTGGTTACTGAGGTACTGCTAAGGCAGCACAGTGCCACTGCAGCGTGACTGGACTGCTCCTAGGCTGTGCAGCTCTAGGATTCAGATGAGGCAGAAGAATATTGAAGTCACAGCTATATTGCAGCAAATGCAAAAAGAGAATGAATGTATTTCTGAAAGAGCAATTTCCCCTCTTCTTCGTGAGTGTCACTCTTAAAGATAAGATCTAAACTTCTGTAGGGAAATTGGTCTCTCTCTGACAAACAGAATGGAAAGAGCTGAAGAACAATGATATCTCTTTTAAAAATTACTGACATGTTAAGGATGCATCTGAACTGAGGAACTGTGTAATTCATGAGCCCTTATTCTTGCTTGCAGGTTATTTTGCTTGGCTGGTGGGGAAATCAAGAATGAAGCACAAGGTTATCCCCCCAGCTGTCACTGGAGCTCCAGAATTTGACAGAACGTTTCGTGCACAGTAAGTCCAAAGATCATTAAGTTGGTGGCAATAAATAACAATTCAGTCCAGAAGAGAAGCAAAAACATTGTCCTGAAATGTTACTTTTTCTTTGTGTCCTTTGCTCAAAAAAGAAATAAAAATTACGAGCAGGTTGCTTTTCAAACCATTCAGGGGTAAGTTCAGCTCATTTAAAACAGTCACGGCTCAAATTCTGATCAAACTAGGTAGTAAGATTACCCAAACCTAAGCAGGGGCTGAGAGTTAATGGGTTGTAACTTAAGGAATGCAAATGTTCTGGATCTAGCAAGCTGTGCTGTCAGTTCTTGGACTGTGGCTGACATCAAACACTGGAAGACGAGCACAGAAAACCTCTGTCTTCAAAGTGGATACCAGTGGAACAGCCTGTCTGAGAAGAGTGTTTTCCTAAAGGGCTTCAGTTTGTGATTAGCTAATGACCCTATGCAAAAGTATTTATATTTATTTCAAACAATTCTATCTGCTGTAACTGTAGCTATAGTGGTTAACAATAACGAGACATAGCCATCAGACAACAGAATATGTTAGATATAGAAGGTTGCCTAATGCATTAAAAAGAAATTAATTCAGAACAACCAAGAAAACATTGGTGGGAAAACTGATGATGTCCACAAATAAAGATGATACAGTCCTGGCCATAAGAAGATCCATCAAGAGCTGTCTGTGCCTGATAGCACTTCATAAAGGCAGCTGGCCTCAGCAGAGCAATCCAAGCTGCCAATGCACAGCTCTGTGCTTCCTCTTGCAGGCCCAGGAATGCTGACCCATGAACTTGCATACTGAGTATGGAGAGAAGTGATTAACATCACATCCATGTGCTGGAATTCCTGCCTGCCTCTGCTGCACAGGCACTTGGTTCAGGATCATTTGTCCCATTAATTTCTGTGTAGCTGCGATCCAGACCCTTGCCTAAATTTTAAACCCAGGAAAATATTTTAAACAATCTCTATTTGAGATTAAAAAGTAGACAGTTTTTAAGAGTGCCTAATTCTGGCTCAATTGTGCTCCCACTGGATTCAATAGCACTAACGTTAGTGACAATAAAATGAGGCCAAAGTGATTATCTTTGAAAATCCCACCCATAGTTCTTTCCCTTTCCAGACTAACAATGTTCTTTGAAATTTATTCTGCAGACAAAACTGTGTGGAGTTTTACCCAATATTCCTGACTGCCCTCTGGACTGCAGGGTGCTTTTTTAATCAAGGTAAACACTTCTCATTTTTATCTTGGACTGAGAAGTTTTATATAACTTTTTTAAACACTTTAGTTTTACAAGCAGGTAAATTACTGTAGAGACCTTTTCCCCTTCTTTTCATTGCATTGCCTTAGCACAGCCTTCCTAGAAAAGTGCTCAGTGACACTGAAATCCCTGCTTAGTCGTGGCATTTCACATAGTCCCACCAGCTTTTACTTCTCTCTGCAAACCAAGCAGCCAGTATGTGGCACATCTGTCACACAGTCAGTGGATTTTTCTGAATCATTCAGAAAAGCAGCTCCCAGATGCTTCTCCCAACAACTATTCACACATTATGGGACAGTTCTCACAGGACACCAAACATAGCTGTCGTCCCTTGGGAGGAGGCAGCCTGAAAAGACTCAGATCAGAGCACTTGTCCCTGTGGCTGGACCCCCGGATGGTGGAGCTCAAGCCAGGAAAGCTTTGGGTTTTTACATCCCAGATGAGTGACACCACCACTGGGCTATGACTCATTGTTTGTTCTGGGACATAGCACTGAGCACTGAAGCACAGTCATAACAGCAGCATCTCCAGCCCTAGATACTGTACTTCAGGTATGCAGCAGGGACTCCTGAAAACCTACTGTGTTTTCCCAGGCACCTGGCAGGGGGCATTTTTCTGCCAAATGTTCTGAACTCAGGCACCACAGAGCTTTCATATCTCTCACTCTGTTGATCTTTTCAAGGTTGGTCCATGCTATCTCCTAACAGCGATGGGGTGCACTCTGATAGAGCCAAAACTTTTGACAGAACCTAACTTTTGCATTCTGCTTTCTTAAACCTTTCCCAGCTGATGGTTTTAGAAGCGTGAAGTTTGTGGGCTGGAGGAAAGGATAACTAGCTCATGCCTACTCCATCCTGAGCAACTAGCTTTCTTCTCAATTCTCTATGTCATTTTGTTTTGAGGCTTTCTTATAGCTACAGTCCCATCTCTGTTGCAAATCCAATGTAAATCCAAAGTAGCACCACTTAAGTCAACAAATGGGATGTGAAGTAATACGTGCGCTCATAGAGAGACACTTGATTCAAGGAAGATCACAGTTGCTAGCCAGCAACACAGACATTGCTGTCACATGTATAAAAAGGATTGCTTTAACCTCCCCTTTAAGTCATTTTTTCAGCTGCATATCTCCCATAGGCATGTTTACATGAGTTAATCCAGAGCACAGTAAAAGCTGTCCTCTGTAATACTTGCTCACAGGGTTTGAAAGAGCACAGAATTAACTAGCACTGCTTAGTCCTGGATAATACGACTGACCTACACACCCTTGCTCCATCTATCAAATGGAGGTGACTTTATACTCTTCCCTCAGGGAGGTCAGAAACCTAACTTCACTACAGCCTTCTCTCATGTTCTTGGATAAAAGCTGCTATATAAATGCAAAGCAGGTTATTAACAACATAAATAAGATTCTCTTCCCAAAACAAACACTCCCCTTTAGCATGAACTGCCATAACTATAAGAAATGACAGTGCTGAGTCAAGCCATAGTGCTCCAACCCACTATCCTGTCTCTAGGATAACTGCCCAACTTGGGGGGAGCTATAGATTCCTGTCAGGTCTTAAGAGCTCCTTTTCTGGGAATGCTTAGGGATTTTTCTGGACAGTCCTATGCCAACCTCTATCTGTAAACCCATACCAAGAGCCTCCTGTAGTGAATGTTTAAGGATACATACATAATAATTCTTTCCCAAAAGAACTTCCCAGGGTATGGGTAGCTATGAAAATCTCCAGACCTGTACAACTAGAAAACATCATTAAAGTGGTTAACTCTAGTGATTACTTTAGTGTCTACAATCCTCATTTTTTAATTTTCTAATTTTTATTTTTTTCCCCCTATTAATCTTTTCTTTATTAGAATTAGCTTCCTTTCTGGGTGCGCTGTACATGTTTGCCCGCTACAAGTACTTCCACGGTTACATACAGTCTGTGAAAGGAAGGTAAGAGGTTACCAACTGAATGCAGGTTAAAAGCTCCAGGCTGTGGTCTGAAGCTGGGCTGAGAGCCAAGGGCTGGCAATGGGAAGTGACTATAACTGAATGAAACATGTGTAAAGTGTCAGCAAGAGGTCTGAAGCAGGAAGGGGGCTGGCTGTTACAGTAGAAGCCTAGGTTAAGATGTGCATGTGCTACAGGTCACAAGAGGGAAAAGGTTAGATGCTCACCTTGTGGGTGCCTGCTTTGTACTAAGAAGTATGACAGTCAGACTTGGAGAGGTCTGAAAACAGCAGTAGTTTGCAGCTCAGGACTGCTGTAGAATGGGAGACTGCTCAGGCAAGGCTTGCACTGTGCCTGCCTGCTGAGATTTTCCTTTTTCATCAGTTTGTCACATTAAGATTTACTCTAGCCACACAAAATGCACTAAGGGGAGCAAGTGAATCTGGCCTTGTAGGCTGATGAACTTTTGCCAAGCAGGTAAGAGAACACAGCTTCAGATAAACATATGTTAATGAATGTTAAGTGCACAGCATCTTGTAAACATGAATTTTGCTTAAGCAAACACGCACACTGGCAAAACACCTCTCCACTATAAACACTCAAACACACTGTTTATTTCTTGTTTCACTGAAGTCACTGCACCATCTTCTGTGTCCTGACCTAAGGCTCCTCTTCCAGCCTACATATCAGTCGTAAAAAGAAAATAGCACGATTCATGCTTGTCATAAAATTAAAAGAACTGTGATGTATATTACCAGAGGAAGATGCAAAACATCAGACTATTTTGTAGTGAATAATCTTGCAGCAGCAAAAGACTGTATTACTGGGCTATTTTCCATAGCTTGTGTACCAGTGTTCCCATTCTCCGTCACTACAGTCTCTACCAATCCTTTACCCTCTTTGGAAGACCTGTTGCTTAAGAGAAGGGAGAGGCTATGTTTGCCAGAGCAAATATACGGAGATAATTTTGTATCTCCCAGTAAGAGATGCACTAATTCAAATGATGCACTGAACACCAGCCACAAGACTAGCAGCTATTAGGTCTGGGGAGCAAACCCATGTAAATAAATGAACAAGCAGAGCATAATGGACTCTAATCAACAAACTAACAAGTCATTTGTTTAAGAAATCACAGAATCATCACAGAACCATAGAATGGTTTGGGTTGGAAAAGACCTTAAAGCTCATCCAGTTCCAGCCCCCTGCCATGGGCAGGGACACCTTCCACTAGACAAAAAAACCTCCCCTTGACCCCGGCGAGGGGGGGGGCAGCCACAGCTTCTCTGGGCAACCTGTGCCAGCACCTCAGCACCCTCACAGGGGAGAATTTCTTCCTAATATCCAATCTAAATCTCCCCTCTGCCAGTTTAAAGCCGTTCCCCCTTGTCCTGTCACTACATGCTTTTTTAAAATGTCCATCTCCGGCTTTGTTGTAGGTCACTTTAGGTACCTTTCCCATGCTTTACTTCAGTACTCTTAGACCAATAGATTCAGCCTCTCAAGGAAGCCTGATAACAGTGGCTGGCTTCACTGTTAAAGCTGCACTCTGGTGAGACTCTGATTTCTCTGCATGGAACAGAGGGTGCAGAGAGTCAGCCTGCCTGCCCTAGGAAATGGCTTTGCTCATGAGGCCTGCCGCTGCAGGCCTGCCTGCTGCTAACCTCCGGTGGGTGCTTCAGCTAGCTACAGGTCAGCACAAGTCAGGCAGGCAGAACTTGGCCCCAAACATACAACAAGCCTGTAGCAGCACTACCAGCACAGAGGTAATTAGTCCTCACACCGATTCTGAACCGGAATCACTGACTACAGCCATGCTGGTTATAAAGACAAACCTGCTCCGCACGCTCAAAGAGCTGGTTACGACACTTCCTCGAGCACTTGACTCATGAAGTGCAGTTCAGATTTGCCAGGGCTGGATTTTTTAAGAAATGCACTTTTACTTGGTTTCTGTGCTGGAGAGGCTTTTGCAAGTGAGCTGTATCCTCTACCCTTCCCTCCAGCTGGCTCTGACATATACTTAAAGGGCTCAGCTAAAGACTTCTTTCATACTCTCATGAAACTGAGAAAATCTCATACTTCACCATTTTCAAATCCACATATAGACACAGCATGCCCAGAAAGGCTACTTACATCAAGTCTTTAAGCACAACAGAGATTCTGAGGCTCCCTGAGCACCAAATCTCTTCAACCTCTGTGGGTAAGGTAGCTATAAACTAAAAGCTGACAAGCTCCTCAGACCTCTCTCCAATGCTGACGTGATGGGATTCTCCAAAGATATCTTTACTTGCTTGTTCTGCTGGTGGAGGCCAACCCAGCAGCAAATCCTAAAATATACCTATCAGACCAGAGTCTGCACCAAGGCAACTGAGAATAGACCCTGCAGAGTCTGCATGGAGGGTATGCTCCCTGCTCACATGTACCCAAAAAGTGAACTCTATGTTGCAGAGCTGAAGGGCTCTATCAGCCTCTTCTGTGGGAGTTTTCCATTTTGTACAAGTAAAATAACCTGATCCTGTCCCATCCCTGGCAAGTACCTGAATCACTGATTTTTTAGATCAATGCTCTTCCTCTCTGGTGCAAAAATCCATCTCCAAGTCAAAGGGATAACCAAAAGCAGACCTCCCAGTTCAGTGGAAAGTACCAACCAAGAGGTGTGGATGTAAGAGACATCCCCTCAGTCCCTAAGGCTTCTCTCCCACACTCCTGCACCTAGAGTTGTGGTGAGGTGCTCAAGCTTGTTTGTGGCTTTACCTACAGGTCTTCATGGCATTGGGATGAAGTAGCTTCATCCTGGAACAAGTTCTTAACTTCTATGTGGATATTTAGAAACACAGGGGAGAGTTTTCCCAAAGAGAGGATACTGGGAATCTCTTTCCTCCCTAGCAACAGCCACATGTGGGAATGGTTCATCACCAAAACACCCCAAGATAGCGTTGCAGCAGTGATCCTTGTCTGATTCTACACACCTCTTCTTAGTTGGTGTGGACAAGCAGTTTCACTGTAAACACACCATATACCACTCTAACAGTAATTTTCTGCTTTTCACTTCTAGGTTAACAGGTTTTTATTTGAGTTTGATAATTATAATTTCCTTGATAACCCTGGGTGCAGCAGGGATTGGTAACAGCTTTCTGGATGAATACCTGGACTTCAGCATTATGAAGAAACTCCGTAAATGGTTCTGAAGACTTTTGTTTTAATAAATAAGTAACACGGATGCTTTCCCTGAACTGCAAAAAAAAAGATAAGCTGCATGTGAATAAAGCATCAAAGCTCTTTACCTAAAGCTCATTGCAATGTAAAAAGCATGTTTTTCCTGAGCTTTCTCCTTCCCCTACACTCCTGAAAAAGAGTCAATTGAGAGAACATCGTGTCACATCTGCATTTTCAATTAAATGTTCTGTTTTCCTGTACAGTATTAACAAATTACATAAAACTAAAGCCATTAATTCACCAAGTAATTTAGTTGGAACTGGCACTGAGAGCATCAGCCCATCTTACCCAATGTCCTTCAGCTTTGCCAATGCTTCTGTAGTGTTCATTCACTCTTCACTTCCCCCAGCAGTGCCATCCATTCTGCACAACTGTAAAAACACACTGCGATGCAATTCACGGCTGCGAGGTCCCAGTTTTCCAAGTACATCCAGTCCCACTGCAGGAGGCTGTTTAAACATGCCTGGAAACACTGCTTTCTTCAGGAAAACATTCAAAGCTGCACTTGACCCTAACATTTCTGTGAAGGCCTTTTGATTTTATATGCACGCTTACGGTTCAACATATGCTCAAACACTCTTCTGGTAGAAGTGGGGCTCTCCTGTAGGCAGACCCCAGTCCTTGCACAAAGCCTTCTGAAGACAGGCTGTACCCACAGCACAGCACTTGTGAGAGGGAGAGCCAGCCCACCCAAAAAGGCAGCACAGATGCTCGCCTAACAATTGGGTCTACTGCATTGTCTCCCACCGAGGCACAGATGGCTGGGGTGTGAGGCAGACTAGACAAACGCCCCAGCATGGCCACAGCTCTGGGAATCATAAAATCACAATGAAAAGCAAACTGGCTGTGAAGACTGTTTGCTGCTAAAAGTGGGGGAAAGGCATGGCTTACCACCATGAGCTCAAAGTAGGCCGATGGTCAGTTTAAACTATGTAGAAGAACAGAGAAGCAAGGCCACGCCTGTTTTGGTAGCTCCTGATAATTCCAGTTATTTAGGCAATATTGAATATACTCATGCTAGGGCCAGCAGGCAGAGATTTTCCTCGTCATGCCTCTGAAGACATGATTTGGCCAAAAATACTGCACGTTTATAGCAGCGTTCAGTCAGGTCAATATAATGAACATCATAGAATCACAGAATCATGATTTGTGTTGGAAGGGACCTTAAAGCTCATTCAGTTCCAAACCCCTGCCATGGGCAGGGACACCTTCCACTAGAGCAGGTCGCTCCAAGCCCCTGTGTCCAACCTGGCCTTGAACACTGCCAGTGATGGGGCAGCCACAGCTTCTCTGGGCCCCCTGTGCCAGCGCCTCACCACTATCACAGGGAAGAACTTTGGCCTAATACCTAATCTGAACATACTCATGGTTAACACCCCCATGGTCTTTCTAAAAGGATACTGAGGTTGATAACCTGACCAGAAAACAGCTGAGTCTTGGAACAGGTTCATAATAACCTTTCATATGAAACAGGTGGGCTTGTGTGTAAGTTAGCTTGTGATTAAAAGACACAACTTAGTGCCTGCATGTGGCAAAGGCTGAAACAACAAAATGAAACAAGTATAAAGGTGCAAGACTTGGGTCCAATAATGTCTCTCAAGGGGAAAAGACAGATCATGGTGGTAAACAGGCTACAGAAAGGGTAACTCCCCAGTGCTTTACCTCCAGGGAGAAAGTACAAGAGGGCCAGATTTAACCACCACCGAAATCACTGGGAATCCTTCCACTACCTTTCCTTGCATGGGCTGAAAGACAGAAAATCCGCCTGCTCACCTGCCAGTGGTGCTGTCAGACTGCCATGGGCAGCAAGAAGTGCTGCCGCCAGAATCAAAACCAAGACAGAAGCCCAAACTACCCAAAAGGCGTGAAATACCCACTAGAGGAGGCCCCAAGGTGGCTCACTGTGTTCAGATATGTCTTTGCTCCTGCAGTTATCCCATTCCAAGCTTATCTGCTGTAGTGGTCTGGCATGCTTACAGACAGCTTCCCATGCCCCATCTACTAGTCCAGTCTATGCTGTTCTATCCTATTCTGCAGAAAGGAATAAACTGCTGTTGCACTGGGACAATTTCACATGCCAAGAAATGCAGGTGTGAGGCTGCAAAGCATCATCCAGCAGCACAAAGCCATAGTGCTGGGACTAAACATGAACCTAGTGTTTTAAGAGCTGCACCAGCTAAAGAGAGGGCAGAAATTGGCCCAGAACTGAGGATACGACCTGTTCTGGGTCCTTTTCCCCACTGGGCCAGGATAGAATGCCTACAATGCAGAAGTTTTAAAGGCTGACTCGTCTATAATTAAAAACAAGATACACCTGTAACAGATGGATGCTGTCAGTATCAGCACTGACTTTAACTCTAGTGAGAACCACACCATTTCCTGCCTGCTGATGGAGGAATCAGTATCAAGCTACACACTCAGCATACACTGTGAGTTAATGCAAATGTTCATCTGTTGGTCACAGTCAGAAATGACGATGATCCCTGGTGCAGTTTCAAAGCCAGTTAGTACTTAGGGGCCTCTTGCAGAAAGTATCTTTTCTCAGCAAGGCCTCTGCCAGCACATGCTGAGGAGGAACCCTGACGAGCTGCTCTGATCTGGGCCAGCCTCCTTCTTTTGCCCCATTTTTGACATTTAGAATGAATAGTAAAGGACCAACATCAAGGAGAGAAGAAGCAGCTCATCTTAAAGGTGGTACGTGGAGCTAAGCCCCACTGACATCCTGAAGAGCAAGCTATGCAAACAGAGATCCAGTGCCTGATCCCCTATGACTCCCTGGCAGGCTGAAGATACAGAGAAATCAGTGCCAAACCTTGAAGGCCACACAGAATGTTTGTCTTAAACAGGTCATATAAACTCAATAGATCTAATGCACTTTCCAACGGGCTTCTGACAACACAGTTCTCACACTGTAGTAGTAGAAGGTAGGGAACTACTCTAAGCACGTGTCTTCATGCTTCCCATTTCCCCAACTCTTGTTTCCAACTTCTACATCCAACCCTGTATCTCCTTTCTTCCACCTCCCCTCCCCAGACCTCAGGGACAGGACTCCGACCTGGGCCCTCCATGTTGTGAGCTGCTCTGGTGCGCCCGGCACGGGCTGTACCCTGCCTGTAACACTCTGACTCCGGGTGGGAGAGGGCAGCTCCGCAGGGTGCAGTGGGGCAGCTCTGGAGCTGGCTTCCCTCCTCCCCCCAGAACATCACCCACCGTGGTGCAGGAGTGGGGCGAGAGATGATCCTATAAGCCAGCCTGGTAGATGAGTCAGATAACCATCTTTTATTTGGGTTCTCTTTTTTTTGTTTTGTTTTGTTTTTCTTTAAAAGTGGTATGTTAACATCAGGTCTTTTTCTACATTTTCAGAGCTCTGTACAGGTCTTAAAAGGAAATAAGCAATGCTTAATGTACAAAGTAAAAACAGAAAACTAGAAAAATCTGAATAAAATGGAGCAAGTTGCTGTCAGGGATACAGTACAAATTAGTAATTAGACGTCATCTGAAGTGCAATACCACTGCAGTAAGGATGAGTTAAGGAATGAAATAAAAATACTCTATTTTAAACAAACAGTATATATATATATTTTTATATGTATATATTTTACAGATAGTAGACCCAGTGATATCTGTAGAATTGTAAAAACATATTTACAAATAACTTTTATTTTTTTTTAACATTACATATACATCAGCACCATAGTAAGAAAGGAAAAAAAAACCCCAACCCCAAATCTAATAAAATCTACCTCTCTAGTACTTGGTCCCAGTACGGAGTATTTGGAGGAAGCTTTACAAAGACAACAGAGACTCAGTCTTCACCACCATTTATTCACCAGAGCCCGCATCTCCCCAACACACGTGGATTTGCACTTGGTGGTTGTGTGTTTCTAACCCCACGCTG